GGGGCAGGATGCCCTAAAGTAAAGCAACGCGCAGGGGCTGGGGGGTGGGGAGCAGTGTTGGAAGCAAAGGGCAGAGCCACCCCCAGCAAGCAGGAACAGAGCTTCTCCCCTGCAGTCCGTGTGAGAATAAGTGCGCAGGCTCAGGGCCTGGGAGCATGGTCTGGGCTGTGGGAGCTGGGCAAGCATATCTGCGTCCAGCCCTTTCTGGTTCTCTCCTGGATGCCTTAACTCCGGTCCTCAGAACCTCAAATCTAAGACCACACCATTTACGTGTCTGAAGGTAGATTAATGTCCTTGGTGATAAAGGTGAACAGGGACCTAGATGCTAGCACCATACCCCAGCCCTCAATGACTCGACCTTATTTGGAGAAAAATGCTAAAATACCACATTCAAGCTGGGGCCCTCCACCAGCCCTCCTGCAGGCTCCCCCACCCCCTCCCAGTGAACGGCAAGTTCCACTTTTCAGGCCAAAAGCTGTAGCAGGCCCTGACCCTCCTTTACTCCCACATCGGGTCCCTCAGGGAATCTCCTGCCTCTCCCTGTCAGACACATCAGTGTTTGACCACTTCTCACACCTGCTCTGCTGCACCTGGCCCCACAGCCTAGCACCTGTCCCCCATCTCACTGCCTCTGCCCCTCCGCCGTGTCCCCCTCCAGTCTTTCTCAGCGCAGCAGCTCAGATCTGCCCACTCCCTCCTCCCTGATCACCTACTCTCCACATCCTTCTCCCAGCTCCAGCCATGATGGCCTCCTCCACTCACTCCTGGAAGCCACCAGTCCTATGCTGGCCTCAGGGCCTTTGCTCTTGCTCTTGTGCTGCCTAGAATGCCTGCTTCCCTAGGTATTGACAAAGTGCCTTGTTCCTTTCCTTCCTTCAGGTCTGGACTCAAAGGTCACTTCCTTTGAGACTTTCTGGAGAAGCTTATCTGAAAGTTAATTCCTCCCCCTAGAAGTCATAGCCCCTTTCCTTGCTTACTTTTTTCCTTCTGAATATTTACCACTATCTAACATATGATTTATTTATCTTTGTTTATGTTTGGATTTCTCCCAACCACAATATGAGAATCATGAGGGCAGGAATTTTGGGGGGTCTCTTTTGATCACTGCCGTGTCTCCACCACCTAGAATGATGCCTGGCACGTAGCAAGCACCCAGCAGACACTCACTGCAAGAATGAATATGAAACCAAAATGTTGGATTTCACAGTAATCAAGAATCAAAGATCACCTGACTACTTGGGAAATACAATCTCTTGCTGGAGTGGTGACCAGGATGGCTCAGACTTCACAAGGCCTGAAACTTGGTGCTATTAAAAAAAAAAAAAATCAAAATAGTCAAAGAGCCCCAAACAGTCAGTCAGAGAGTCTGCATGTTTATGTTTTAATGTGTAAACCTTCTCAGATGTAAGAGACGGAACAGGCAGGAGACCCTGACCACGGTCAGGAAACCCGGACCACGCAAGTATTATGCAGAGGGAATTCCGGTTCAAGACTCAGCCCCACTGGTGTAGGGTGTAGAAAAACCAAACGGAACCCCTTGGTCACCCAGAGATAATATCCACAGGAAGCGGCTATCTCCATCTCTTTGGGTTGGGGCACCAGAAAGGATGGGTGAGTACCTCAGATCCAGAGGGAGAACACGGTGAGGTGAGAAGCCAAGACTCTAAGAGAAAAGGATGGAGGAGCACAGAAGCAGGACAGGTCCTGAGGTCAGCCTTGCCCAAGAGAAGCCAGGAAGGTAAGTGAGTGAGCGAGGTCGCCCCACTCGTGCAGGGCCTGAAGCACCTTCAGACGTGCGTCACTGTGAAACATTCAAGGCCATGGATGGTCCCCGAGCCTAACACCACATGTGTGTGCCAAAGGGAAAGAAAAGCACATTCTCTCCACATAAACACTCTCCCCCACTGCAAGACTTGAGGGACTAAGAAAAAGGGCTCAGCAACCCTTTAATATCGGAGGGGGAGATGAATCATGAGAGACTATGGACTCCAAGAAACAAACTGAGGGTCTTAGAGGGGCGGGGGGTGGGAGGATGGGTTAGCCCGGTGATGGGTATTGAGGAGGGCATGTTCTGCATGGAGAACTGGGTGTTATATGAAAACAATGAAGCGTGGAACACTACGTCAAAAGCTAATGATGTATTGTATGGCGACTAACATAACATAATAAAATTAAATTAAATTTTAAAAAAATGCAGTGGGGGCTAAGGCTTTCACGCCCCGTGAGGGCGTTCAGTCAGACATTTATAAGAGCTACCAGCCTGCTGCAGCACGAGCTCCAAAACCCAGATCTGCTCACAAAGCTTGTTAATGAAAGTAGAGGGCACAAATCTAACCCGGCCCAGAAGGATTTCAATAAATTTCAAGCAAGGGAATCTGATGGGGAATTATACTGAGGAAACGCGACACTTCCCATACAACACATGTATCTGCTTGCCTTTTGTATTTACAGTTTGTATATCCCAACAACCTTTTTATGCAAATAATAAATCTGCATGGAAGTCAGGTAGAATCTTCTCTTACATTACTAGTATGTATCTGATTCAGTGAACAATTTCCCTGGACTTAAAAGAATCTAAGAAAGGAAAAGGGCTTCCCCTGGGATTCCACAACAAAACTCAAGGGGTGCCCTGGGGCAGCACCAGCTTGCCTCCGTGCAGAGAATCAAGGACCAGGACAAAGAATTAAGGTCATCCCTTCCTCTGGCCCCACATCCCCACCTCCTCCCCTCCAGGGGTTGCTGGCCCAGCCCTCACAGAGGTCTCCGCTGAAGAGGACTCCAGCCCAGGCAAAGGGGGCCAACAGTTCCAGTATAAAGCCCTTTCCACCCAATTACTGGTTCTCACCCTCAGCACCTCCCCATCCGCACCTCCACCAGCAGCACAGCTAACACCCAGAACTGGTTTCTCCCTCCTTCAGATACTTGAGCAGCTCTCCTGTCCCTCTGAATCTTCTTTTCTCCCTGCTAATCCCTCTCTTCCTAAACCTGTCTTCACTCTCTCTTCAGAGACACTCTCTGTGTCTACACTTCAGGAACCCAGAACTGAGCCAGCACAACTAAGCATGAGCCATGAGCACAGGTGGGTCAGAGCTAGGGTGTGTGCAAGGCAGGTCGGGTGTCTCACACTCACCACCCTTCTGCTCCAGGCAAGTCTATTTCACTACCAGATCCCAGAACTTCCCCACTGGCTACAACCCTTGCCTGGAGCAGCTGATGCTGAGGCTAACAGTAACAACTAGTATGTATGGAGGACTTATTGACTATTACGAGACACTATACTATGCATTTGAATCCTCACCAAAAAGAAAAAAAAAAAAAAGTAGGGCTATTACTATGTTACAGGGGAGGAGCCCAATTCCAGCCCATCTGCCTGCCTGGGGTCCCAGCTGAGCTGTGGCACCTGACCGGAGTGAGACCTGGCAAGGACAGTGGCGGGGGGCATATGCCTCCGCCAGCCCTCAGGGGCTCTAATTTGTTAATGGCCAGCCCTGTTCCAGAAACGAGGTAAGTCACTGAATTAACCATTGTTCCTTCAGGCAAGCTTTCCTGATTTGGGCATTCATTTGTTTAAAAACTACAACATACACACCCAAATAGCAAAGCCAAGGAACACTGCTGCCATGCTTGAAATGACACTCAACTATCTCTGGAATGGCAGTAAATGTGAGAATCTGGGGAGCAACGAGAAGCATGAAAGGCAGGCCATCTCACTCAGGGCCTTCAAACTCACTGGCTTTGGGAGCCTTTCCAAACGATGTGTCTGCCAGAGGATGTGTCATGAGAACTGAGCTAATTAATCCATATAATTCACACACTGGGGCGAGGGATCAGCAGGAGGAAGTAGAGGTTATCTTCAGACTTCAGGCAGACCAGCAGCTAAGGAGACTTGTTTGCGCCACCCTGAGCTTCAGCAGATGCCCCCCAAAGGTGCCACCAGGTCTGTTTAGAAGATTGTGGAAAGGAAGGCCTCTGGGTGAAGTGTGACCATTCTCAGAGCTGCAGGTGGTCACAGCGGGTGGCGGAGGGAAGGACTGCTCAGAGCCCTACAGACTTCCCCGGCCCCTTCTCCCCCAGCCTTCTCCCGCCCCTCCCCCTTCTGGCCTCAACTTCAGCCTCTCTCACGCTCTTCCTTCCCTCTTCCAGCCGCCTCTCCTCCTGGCCTCCAAAGAGCAGCCGGTGGGATGGGCGCCAGCCTGGAGTAGGAAATGGGAAGCCACAGCGCTTCTCTGAGAACTCGAGGCCCCAGGAGCCTGCGCAGTCACAAGGCCAGGGAGGAGGCGGGCCGCAGTTCATCAAACCCCAGGGCGGTCCCACCCCAGGGGTGGGGACCTGGGCTCTCCCCGCTGCCGTCGGCAGCAGGGAGGCCCATCCGGACGAGTGACAGAAGGCTGCGTGGCACCTCGGACTCAGGCTCCTCTGTCGCGGGAGACCAGAGGCGCAGCCCCTTCCAGCGGAGCACTCCGAGGGGGGCGGCTGCCAGACACAACGCGACCCCAATCGGACACTGTTGTTAACTCTTCCCAAACATTTCACCAGCCCTCTCCTGTCGCTTTCGGGGCGGGGCGGGGGTCACAGCCGGCCCTCCCGAGGGTGAGGAGGGAGGGAGGCCGCCACTCCGGAGCAGGGGCTGGGTTGAGAGGCCTGGGGGGTCACCCCGACACTGGCCGCTGTACTGGTACTGGTCAGTGACTCGTCCTTGGGGACAGTCGGGGCGCCCTTCTTGCCGATCTCCGCCTGGAGGGCCTCAGGGCTCCAAGAGCTGGCTCCTTGTCCTCCGACCACTGCCGCCCTGGGCGCCCTTCATTTGGCGGCGCAGATCTAAGCGTCCCCCGTCCCGTGCCAGGGACCGAGGGGAAAGCCGCAATCTCGGCTTCAGTAACTGCCCCTCCGGCCTGCATTGCACTGTAAAACGACCTCGCAACCACACCTCCCCGTAAGACTCCATCCGAGGCGCCCGCCCCGTCCTCCCTCCCCCCACCCGGTGCCCGCCGCCCCCGAACCTTGCCGCAGCGGCACGCGCGCTAGCTCCGGCCGGTCCTCGGGGAAGGCGTCGCGGAGGCGCTGCCACAGGCGGCCGAGGTCCGCGAAGCTGCGGTGCAGGTAGAGCACGCTGCGGTCCGACCACTCGGTGCGGATCTCGAAGAACTCCTCCTCGTCGCCGCGCCGGCTGACGATGAGCCTGCGGATGCCGTTCACCCAGCAACCGCGCACGAACATGTTCACAAGCGAGGTGCCCTCAAACACCGCCGAGGCCATGCCGCGGGCCGCGCATGCCCCCGCCTCCGGGGGCGCCTTCGGCCCCCGCCCGCTCTCCGGCCCGCTCGCCGGGCCGGGGGTCTGCCTGAGGTCTGCCCCGAGCCGGGATCGGGCCGGGATCTGTCCCGGGCCGGAGTGCGTCCGACGTCTCCGGGGCCGGGATCGGGCCGCCGCCGTGTGCCTGCGGTCTGCCCGGGACCGGGGTCTCTCCCGGGTCAGGGTCCGTCCGAGGTCTGTCGGGAGCGGGGAGCCGGCCGGGGTCTGCCTGCGGTCTGCCCGGGGCCGGGATCCGGCCGGAGTCCGCCGGGAGCCGCGGTCCGTCCGAGATCTGTCCGGAGCTGGGGTCCGTCTGGCGGCTGTCAAAGACCGGAGTCCGTCGTGACCCGGGTCTGTCCGGGGTCCGCCCCCAGCCTCCGCGCGCACTCGCGGGGAAGCGCGGCGACAAGTCGGTCGGGCCGGGCCGAGCTGCGTCTTTATAAGGCACTTCCCATCGCGGGCGGCGCGGTCGTCGACGTCGAGGCCGCTGCCGCCGCCGCCGCCTTCCTCCCTCTACCGGGTGAGCGGACGCGCCGCGGGCTGCGAGCGGAGGGGGGGGGGGCCTGGCCCGCCGCGCCCCGCACCGCCCACGCGAAGCCCGCGCTGCTGGGGCAGCCGGCACCCCGGGCCGCCGGGAGCCGGCCCGAAACCCGAGCGCCGGGCCCCGCCTCCGCGCCCCCCGCCCGGACCCGGACCGCCCCCGCCGCTTCCTTCCCCTCCCGGCCCCAGAGCCGCCGGCCCGTGACTGGACGAGGAGCTAGGGAGGGAGGGCGGGACAGGCCTGCGCTCCCGGGGTTCTCGGGACAGACTTTTTTCTCTTCCGTTTCTCGCTTCTCGGCAACCCTCGGTTTGGGGGCTGCGCGCCCTGCCCCGCCGGCGACAGCGAAGGAAACTGCACGGGGGTCGGGGCCGGGGACCCGGGCTGGGCGGAGCGCGAGGGAGGCTGCGGTGCCGGGCGGGGGGGGGCGGGGTCCGGACGCGCCGGGCGTCGGGACTGTTGCTCTCGCCCTAGTCTCTGCACCGTCGCCCACCCACCCCGGGCTGGGGACCGAGGTCCGCTCGCCCCGCGTTCGCCGCGCGCTCAGCGTCCCCTCCCCGCCGGTGTCCGCTCCCCGCCCCGCGTCCCCCCCGCGCATTCCAGTCGTGCCACACACAGCCCGGACCCCCGCTGCAGACAGACAGGGACGCGGCGGGACACAGACAGGGAACGGGCGTCCATTAGGACTTGGCCAGCCAGCCAAGCGGTCGCCCTCCAACAGGAGAGGGGGTTCCCCCCTCCCCCCCCCGCTAAGAACTGGGACAAACCTTGGTGGGAAAGGAGTCTCCTGGGAAAGAGCCCCCTGGAGTGAGCTGGGAGCCCTTTGTGAGTCTGGGATTTCGGAAGTCGAACTGGGGAAACTGCCCACCTGGGAAACTGGGATTTATAGCAGCCGTGATTCACAGCCTATTTTTTAGGCTGTTCCTAATTGGAAGATAATTTCAAGCGATAATTTAAGAATGGGAAGCTGGTTCCAGAAGTGTCTCCTGTGACCTCACATCGCCCTAGGCAGGGGTGGGAGAGCCAGGGCTAGGCCCCCCTTCAGCGCCTTGCAGAGTTATAGAAAGCACAGAGAGCCCACCTAGGGCACAGAAACGTTAGAGGTTGAGGGCAGGTTGCTGGTCACTTGACTCAATCCAGCCCGAGATATGTCCCCCTTCCCACTTCCCCCCCATCTCCGCCCCCCCCACCGCCACCTCCCATCACGGCCACCAGGGTTTATTCAGACTGCTCCAGTGACTTGAGGTATTCTATCTCCACGGTTCACCGTCTAGGTTTATCTTTATCTCCCTGTGCTGGTCTTGGTCCCCGTTTGCTGGGTAAACTGGGAGAAGGACTTTTCGGCAATTTGGCATGCCCTGCCCCCACCGTGGTGGCAGTCAGTAAGTGTGGTGCGACTGATAGGCTGACCGCGGGAGTCTGCCCTGGGCACCGAGGGGCCTGAGGGCAGAGGCTCAAGGAGCCACGCAGGGCTGCGTTCCACCTTCCTCAACAAAGCCCCATTGAGGCCTCCCTCGCAGCCACCCTCCCAGGACACGCACCCTTTTGCTCTCCCGGCCACTGGGCTGAACAGCCATTGCTAGGACTTTAAAGGCCAGAATTAAGGTGCTTTTATGCATTCTGTAAAATCTTTCCTAGGAACAATCAGGTCTGGGGTCCCCCGTTGCCAAGGAGACCTAACTTTGTGAAACTGCCCCTCAGTCTGTGCCAGGCATTCCTGGTCACCAAAGAGAAGAAAGTATTTTCCTATCAGTGATGTTTGTTTGAAGAGACCCAGAAGGAGGGAAAACCAGAAATAACAACTGCCCCAAAGCCACGAATAATTACAGAAATTCAGATTAAAACACAATGAACTATTTTTCATCCATTGCATTGATACAGATTTCTAAAAATCTGTTAAGAAAAATTATCCCAAATCTGAAAAGACCAAGAGGGTGGTCACCCCCTCTCAGTGTATGTCCTTTCAAAGTTACTGGGTGTTGTTTTAAAGCCCAAGGATTACTTAATTTTCTGGGAGAATGTACCATTGTTTGATGTTGCTATTTACTATTAATGAAAGGGTAAGACTCTGTAGGGTTATATATTAACGTGTAGATTTGTGCTTGATGGAATGCAAATAATTTTTGCCCCAGAGATAACTTCACAGTTTATCATTTATTGCCCTGTAGGACATTAACCATTTTTATATCTAGTCTAGCAATCTTATTTTAATATATTTTAAGGATGATATAAACCTTTTTCTCCAAATGGTCGTTGAGTCAGCTTTGTCATCTTACAAATTTTCACATTAATTAATGAGGGGAATAAAATTTCTGACACATGTTCATGCCATATTTGTAGAAACATTTGACAGTCACATTTAACTTTTGAAAATGATACTCGGGCAAGTCTGACAACAACAAGAATTTTTGCAGGATTATGGACAGACAGATTTTTGGGTGCATCAGTTGGAGCAGGCTCTTTGGAAAGCAGTTTAGCAGTGGTTGTTAAAATTGAAAATGTGAATGACTTGTCACCCAACAACTGCTAGGATTCAATCCTAGAGAAGCATTTCCACACTGGCACTGACAGAAAGGTACCAAGACACTCATCATTGCAGTGTTTGTCACAGTAAGACATTGGAAAGAACTTCAATGTTCATCAAAAGTGGGGTGAATAAATTAGTGACACGACGGAATACTATATAGCTGTGAAAAATGGATCAGTTGTAAGTATGGATAGATCTCAGAAACAAGATGACTGATGGAATAGCATAGGAATAAAGATATATATAACAAAACAGTACTAAATTTGGGAAGATACCTGCCGAATTCAAAAAGGTAACCTTTGGGGTGCTGAATGAGTCCAGATACAAGGGTGTCAAGAACATTTATCTATAATGTTCTTATATACATTTCTGAATTACATGAATGTGCACACTGTGTAATTTTTAAAAAGGACATGGGTGCTGTGGGAGGCTGGAAGCCCATAGCCAGAGTGCTCCGGAGTGCTCACTTCTGGGTGGTGGGAATAATCGCTAATAAGATTTCCTTCTTTAAAAAAAAAAAAAAAGATTTTATTTGTTTATTTATTTGAGAGTGAGAGAGAGCATGAGCGAGGTGGGGGGGGGGGCAAAGGGAGAGGGAGAAGCAGATTCCCCACTGAGCAGGGAGCCCAACCCAGGACTTGATGCCAGGACCCTGAGATCATGACCTGAGCCAAACGTAGATGCTTAACCGACTGAGCCACCCAGGTGCCCCGAGATGTCCTTCTTAGTATATCTCTGTTACTTAAATATTATCTAATGATGATGATGATGAAAAAAATCTCTGAAACAAGTGCCAAAACTTCTGACTCCTGGTCCTGTCCAGCCCCTGATGGACTCCAGCTGTTGAATCTCACACTGCTCACTTGAACTTTCTTGGCCTGGACTTTCCTTTATGTGAATTACGAATTGTAAACAAGAATTTTGAAAAGCCCATGTCTGCCACAAGGACAAATAACGTGGAAGATGGCAGAAAGTGTGCCGTGGACACCTTTGCGGGCCTGTGGGATATAAGCGTGAGGACCAGACACAGAGGAGGAGGAGCAGTTTCAGGCTCCTAATGAAGCTGAGTAGCCCGCTCAGGGCCTGCGCTGACATGATAGAATGTGAAACGGAGAACGAAGAGGAGCTCTTGGCGTCACCTGCGCATCTTCCCAGCCTGGTGCCGAGTTACACAGGTGCAAGAGAGGGAGGGCCGTGGTGTAGGTGAGAGCCTGGGAAACCCGATACGCCCATCCGCTTAATAAGAGTCAGTGAAATTCAAGGCCTTACTTTTGAACGGATGTTTGTTTCTCTGTTTCTCTTCTTCTTCTTCTTCTTTTTTTTTTAGATTTTATTTATTTGAGAGAGAGCGCGCGTGTGTGCGCGCGCACGCACAAGCGCGCGGGTGGGGAGGGGCAGAAGGAGAGGGAGAAGCTCCTCCCCGCTGAGCAGGGAGCCTGACTCAGGACTCCATCCCAGAACCCTGGGATCATGACCTGAGCCGAAGGCAGGTGCTTAACCGACTGAGCCACCCAGGTATCTCTTTGTTTCTCTTCTGCATTTGCTTTGTTTTGGCTTGTTGTTATTGTTTTGTTTTGCTTTAAGTTCTATCCTTTCTAGCCCTCACCGTTAACAGAAAAACTGTGCAGAGGTTGGTAGCCACTTCTCTGGGTGGCCCTCAGTGTCGCACTCCTTCTGCGTCCAACACCATAGGAAGCTGGGGGCTCACGCCAGAAAGTGAGACGGGGATGGGGGAGGCAGTCCTGGCCCCGGGGCAGCCCTAACCCCACCGGCTCCACCATGTCTAACCCCCGCTCCTAACACTCTACATCCACCAATATGCAAAATCACAGCTAAAGAGTCTTTTCTCGTCACTGCTGCTTGGGAGCGTTTGATAAACTGTTCACATCAGCACCAGGATTTACTTTTCAGTTTCACCTCCCCAGTTCCAGACACGGTAAGGAAATTTGGGGAGCATCCTGCAGACCATAGCTCTTCTCTGTTTTTCTTCAAAAGAAGAGCAGTGGGAGGGCCTACAGCTCTGAACATTTGCAGTACATTAACTGATCTGATCCTCCCAACAGCCCGCGGCGATAGGGGGTGGGGAGGATAACGGTCCCTTGGCCGATGAGGAAACTGAAGGCTCCAAGAGGATCTAAAGTGGTCCTAACCCATAGCTAGCCCCAAACTGAGGGTCTCCCTTGCTCATCCCACCAGCCTCTGTCTGGCCTTGGTCCATCCACATTGGCCTGTTTTCACCATCTCCAAGTGCCAGGCGCCTCTACCCAGCACCCACTCGCGGGCCTGACAGGACTTCCCCATACCCTCTACCACCTGCCTTGGCCAGCTGATTCCCACTCACACTTTCGACCAGTGCTTCTCAAACCCTAATGTGCCTATGAATCCCTGGGGAGCTTGTTGAGAAGCAGATCCTGATTCATTAGGTCTGG